TGGCACCAGCTGGCGTTTGACGTTAGCTAAGGGCCCTTTGAGGCCATCTGAGGACCCTTTAAGGCCATCTGAGAGCCCTTTGAGGTCATCTGAGGGCCCTTAAGGCCAGCTGGGGCCCTTCGAGGCCATCTGAGGGCCTTTTGACACCATCTAAGGGCCTTTTGACACCAGATGAGGGCCCTATGACGCTAACTGAGGGCCCTTTGAGGTCATCTGAGGGCCCTTCGAGGCCATCTCAGGGCCTTTCGAGACCATCTGAGGGCCCTTTAAGGCCATTTGAGGGCCCTTTGTACACGGTCTTCGGTGGTCTAAGGATTAGTTAGAGGCCCATTTGAGGCGGCCTTCGGCCGCCTCAAATGGGCCCCTATTCCTTCGGGCTGGGCCCCCCAACTCGAATGGGGGGGGCACAGGCCCGTGTGCCCCCCCCCCTTGTGTGCGCCCTCGGGCGCTGGGATGGCTCGATGCAAAGGATCTATTCAAATATCATATGCCCGCATTACTCCACAAAATTATCAAATACGATGCACCAGTGTCGCTTTCATCCTTTATCCAAACAAACCGTGAGACACGAGTTCGGAGCACTCGCCATGGTGACGACCTGCGACTCAGGACGGAGGCTGGGAGGCGCCAATTTCTGTACTGTGGCCCGATGCTATACAACCAACTGCCAGCTGAAATGCGTACGATGTCATTTGGTCGTTTTAATTATGCTATCAGGCAAGGGATAAATACGCAACATAAATACGCAACATTAGTAATGCACTGCAATGGTCAGTTTTATCATATTCTTGATTATTTTTATCGTTTTTATCAATGTTAGTTCGTACCGCGTCTGTGACGTGTGGAGCAGTCCCATCATTGTATCATGTGTTTTACCATTGACTCTAGGCAAGAAAAAGCCACATCTGCGTGGATTTGCCTGAATAAACGGTATTGTTGTTGGTAAAGCGAAAACGTTTTAAACTGCAGATATAGGTGCTGTTTTCTGACTTAACCTTCGCCCCAGTGGGGGGGGGGGCATATGTTACCACCCTGTCGCGTTTTTTTGCGTGTGAATAAAAAACCGCGGCGCGTAGCGCCGCGCCGCTTGGGTTAGCTTTTGGTACATCAATTTTGGACAATGTGTGAAATTTTTGACCCCAGGTCATGTCAGGTCAGGTCACCAGATCAAATTAACTGACCAAGCCTAAAAAAAAGTTTGCAATCATGTCCAGCCTTAAGTGTTTGTCAGAAAGGTTTGAAACTTGGTGGATTGCATGCTGTTATGGGCGCCTACAATTTGTATATCTCGGATTTTTTATATCCGTGACCTAAGGTCAGGTCAGTGGCGTGACCTTTCCATTACAAGTCAATGGAGAAAACTGAAAATGCCTCTAGATCCGTGTGTACGCATAGGAACAGTCCAAATATTTCAGAATCACAATGATTTAGTCCACTCGTGATGACCAAGGTGTCATTTTTGCTGATAGCCTCTAGAAAGGTCATCCGAGGTCATTTGAGGCTACAAACAGTTTTTTGCCAATAACTCGCGATTGGAAAGAGATAGAACGCTGGGGATGGTCTCATTGTGTTTGTCTTGTTAAGACGCATCGACTGATATGCAACATGACCTTTTCCGGTCAGGTCATGACCTTGACCTGAGGTCAAATTTTCAAGTTGACCTTTCAAGGTCAAAGTATAGTTCATTCGACGCGTCTCGGCGAGGGGAACACGATTCTGGCAATAGAAATGTCGTGGCGTTTTGTAGTCGAAAGTTATTGTCGAAAAACACTTTTCGTAAAAACAGCTATTTTTGGAGTTTTTGCCCTCTGGAGGCTAAACCGTTGACCTGAGGTCAATATTGATAATGACCTTTTCAAAAGAAGAGTTCAAAAGCTATCGATTGCTTTTCCATGCGTTTTTCTAGCTACCATAGTTCCTGTGATAGCGGCATGTTTTCTGAAAAATATAATGACAATTGGCAAATTTTGACCTTTGATGACCTCTGGTGACCCCAATATTGCTCTAAGGTGAAAAATGACTGAAATACTTTCAAACGTACGCATTGAGAGCTATCGACTGCTTTTTACCGCGTCATTCTAGCCCTCTTAGTTTTTGAGTTAGAGGTGTGTGGTAACATATGCCCCCCCCCCCCCCCACTAGGGCGAAGTTGGCTGAGACCGCCACTGGGGCGCGGGATAAACGGTATTGTTGTTGGTAAAGCGAAAACGTTTTAAACTGCAGATATAGGTGCTGTTTTCTGACAAACGACCACAATTTCCACTTTTGAGGAGGCCCCAGAGGCGAAGAGGAGGCCCTCTTATGAAGAGGCCCCCTAATTCGGCTTGCCACCCCTGGCAAAAATCCGTGGCGCCGCCCCTGTGGTTCTATAGACACATTAGCGTCCGCAGCGACGCACTCATCCGTCCCGGGCTCTTTCACGTCAAAAGCTCGATTGATTGCTGACCACTCGTACCGTTTGTTGTTCGCGGTTTGTCGCAGCGTCGAGCCGGGCCGGGGACAGACTCCGCACCACACTGTCAGTGGCCCCAGCCGGGCACAGAACCGGTTCAGCTGGAGGCCAGGGCGGCCCGCGGGGGAGGCGGGGCGGGAGGCGGGGGGGGGGGGGCTCTGACGAGCTGGACGGTCCCGTGCCAGGCGACTTATGAACGGAACGCCAAATTGCACACCAACGCGACAGCGGAGACAAAACTCTGGGCCTTGGACGCGGCGCCGGCCACGGTCGACGAGAGCGGCAGGGGCGCCTCATCAGAAATGTAATGGTGACCGCTCCGGAGCGGCGAAATATGGGTCTGGGACGGCCGCTCAACCGCCGAGTGAATCGCGTGTCCTCCCCCATGAACCTCCGACCACAGCACGGTAGGATGAACGTATTCTGAATTCCAGACCATGCAGCTGCTACAGCAGCCGCCAGTCACTCGAGCCGACTTGAAATTAATTGGGTCTCCATAAATGGGTTTAACCACAAGACATCTATGACTAAGACGACATGTTTTCACACTCCATAAGAAACGTTTTATCGTACCTACCTACTATGCATTTCAGACCCCATGAGACCCTGTTTTTTGGCGATAATTTATTTAATATTTGTCCAATTCGCTTCAAATTTTCACAATGCATATTTCAGCTCAAGCGCCAATTTTCGCTAATATGGTCTCTTAACAAAATATCAATTGTTAGGGTACTTGTCGTTGCCTCGTAATGTTAAAATCAGCTCCGTAAATCCGTCAGTGAAGTAGAGGCTATCCGTACGTAGGCGTGACGTCACAGGCACGTGACCATTAAGCTCCGCCCTCCCGGCTGACGGAGCGGTGACCTTGGCCGGTCAGTCGGATGCGTGGAGCCGACGGGGCAGTAGCCGCCGCACCCAAGGCCGTATGCCGGACCGGGGCGGCTCGCATTGGACGTGGCTGCCTTGCGGTTGCCGTTGCAGTACTAACGATACAGCAGAAACAAGCGCTCGTAATTAGCACACTAGCCTTCGTTATTGCATTTATCGCAAATTAACCTACACCATGTCAATCAATAAAGATATGCCTACTTTAATACTAAGTTCAGGGCTAGTGACTGCATTTTTTCTTGATTGAACGTCATTAAAAAAATCGTGGATGTCAATTGACTGTGAACTGATGCAAGACGTCGGTCAGCCTACGTCAAATTTGCAAGACATGGTAAACAGTTACACCGTAGCATTTAAGAAGTGTGGTTGCAATATGAAATATATTATGCTTATGCGTATGCTTGAGATGGATTCATGTGATTGCGGTGCAACATGAACACCTTCAGAACTAACCCATTTTATAATTGGCTAGATTGAGATCACCGGTCTGACTTGACCCCAGGCTTTCGTGTTGAGCTGCAAATAATTAAAACACCTGTAAGTAAGTAACCTACTGCCTCATTATTGGAGAGCTTGAAAAGTTACTTTAGTTTCACAAAAGACGCGATTTCTTTACTAGCCTATGCGCCTGTTTCCCTTATTTTGATGTCACATTTCTACCATGCGCAGTAAATCGCACATCACATTTCTGCTCCCTTCTCAACGCTTCCCGAATTACGAACACAGCTCGTGAAGCGATGTCTTAGGCAATCGGAAGTGCTCGCGACTCATCATCTTACTCTGCTGTTTTCTGCATAGATATGACAGCGTCTTCAGAAACAGCGATTGACGCAGCCAACCATATCGATATTTTCGAGTGGTGCAGAGGCTTCGCATGATGTCATAGGTGACAGGATAGTGACACGACCTGACCATGAGATATGCGCAAGAATGTGCATTCATTCAGATATTCAGATAGTGCATGACTCAGCTCTCTGTTTAAAGTTGGTTCTGGGGAGGTGAATATCCTCATAATGAGTAAACTTCATATTCTGAGCTGGATCGGTGTTGATATACTAAGAAGGGAGAAGCGGTTAGCAAGTCCCCCAAAGGAAGAGCAAGCTTTCGCTCAGACACTTCCTGTCGATTCCATGTATGTTTCCAGTGCGCGGCCCCCGTGCGACCTCTCCGCGGTGCTGCCGCCGACTGAGCCGACATAGACCCAGCGCGGTCACGGCCAGTGGGCGGAGTTTAGTTGGGCCCGGCGCAACGTGATTGGTCAGCGCTCCCATCCAATCCGCTGCGGTAGCGAACGAGCCTCTATCCGGGTGCAAAATCTAGTTACCATTACGGGCCTATGACAAGTGCTCTAAATATTGATATTTTGTTAAGAGACCATATTGATGAAAATCGGCGCTTGAGCTGAAATGTCTGATGTCAAAATTTCAAGCCGATTAGACAAAAACTGAACAAATTATCGCCGAAAAACAGGGTCTCATGGGGTCTGAAATACATAGTAGTAAACCAAAACGAAACCGAAACACAGCGGACCGAACACGCCATGGGCATTACAACTAAAATTAACATTGCACAAATAGACACAGCAAGTCACTCATGGCTTTCCCAGTCGTGAGACAACAGACGGGGGGGGGGGGGATGCAGGCTGGTGCAGTGCACTTACCTATGCCGCCGGGCGCAGTCACGTGATCGGCATCGTGCGCATGCGCGTCATAGCCGTTGTTGACAAAGCCGGTGGGTGCGGGCTTGTGCTCGAGGCGTTTCATTTTCTCGCTACCTCGCAGCGACGAGCGCAGGAACTCCTCCTCCTTGGAGCGTTTGTCGCGCATCTCACGGTCTCGCCGGATGTCCTCCTGGAATTTGTGCATGGTGTCACTGATCGAGGATTACGGTCACTGGTCCTATGGTCACTGTCCGATCACTACCGAGGTCACTGTCAGGTCACTATCACCAGCGCTGGGTCACTGCCGAGGCGCCCGGTCACCGCCGCCGGTCGCCATGATCCTTCTCGTGACCTCCTCTGACAGCCGAGGACTAGCGTGCACAGCTCCGCGAGCCGCCGCCATCGACGCCCGACCGGCCGCACGTAGCTGAGTTATTCTCGGCCATAGGCGACCCCAGATCTGTATCGGATCTACCGCTCCCCGCTGAACACCAGGGGTCAGGGCGCCGCTCGTACCGCACTCCTGTGGCACTCGGCACTCAGATGGCACTCTATGAACTCGGCACTCTACCAGAAATCGTGGGACTCTCGGCACTCAGATGGCACTCATGGAGCACTCGGCACTCGAGTCAACCCAACGGTCTCGGCACACCGCGCCTCAGTCCGCCGCGCCGATCGGCTCTGTCCATGCGGTACCGAACTCCTTCACCGACTCCTTCACTGCACAGCGTGGCCGGGTCGGTGTCTAGGCAGAGGCCGAGCGAGGCGCGGCACAGCCCACACCAGCCTCCTCTGTCCGCTGCACGGGCCGGGCCGCGGCGGGGTGCTGGTGAGCGGCTCCGGCAGCGCGCACCGTCCGCGCTCCGCGTCCGCCGCCACCGCCGGCGGGCGCACCTCTGCGCGCCGCGCGCACCAAACCAGTTCTGCAGGCCGGCCGTGACGCCAGAGCCGGGCGGCGCGGCGTGCGGCGTGCGGCGTGCGGCGTGCCCAGGCCACGACCGGCGCCGCCGTGGCCGGTCGACAGTCTGCCGTCGGAGGCCCGGCCCGCGTCGTGGCCGACGGCCAGCCGCGGCGGCCGGCCCTCCCACCCCGGCGGAGGGGGGGGGGGGGGGGTCGGCCACAGCTGCCCGGCGGCATACACTAGCCAGTCGTGGTGTCGGCAGAATCAGCCGCGACAGTACATTGGCCGCACACTGCGCTGTGTTGGCGCGACTGGTGATAGCTGGCTCAGCTCAGCTCAGCTCAGCTCAGCTCAGCTCAGCTGGGTCAGCGGAGTTAGCTGAGTCAGCTGCAGAGTCAGACCGGGTGGAAAGGAGACCGAACGGGTTGAGAGTGATAGAAAAAGGAAGAAAAAGAGCGCAGGTATTGGGAGAGGCGAGGAGATTAGAGGAGAGGAGAGGAGAGGAGAGGAGAGGAGAGGAGAGGAGAGGAGAGAATATCGATGACTTGGATTTGGGGGCGTCGAAAAAAGATAATCATCTTTTTTCTCCTATTTGCTTTAATCCACTGAGGAGAGACGGAGAGAGAGAGGGAGGGAGGGAGGGAGAGAGAGAGAGAGAGAGAGAGAGAGAGAGAGAGAGAGAGAGAGAGAGAGAGAGAGAGAGAGAGAGAGAGAGAGAGAGAGAGAGAGAGAGAGAGAGAGAGAGAGAGAGAGAGAGAGAGAGAGAGAGAGAGAGAGAACCGGGTTCGCATGTATCTGGTGTATGTGTGACCGTTCAGTGAAAATAACAGCACACCTGTACCTACAAGCACAGCAGGCGGCAGCAAAACGGTGGTCTGCGCTTAAACTTAGCCTATACCGCAGATGCAGCACCAAGGTCACACGCTCATCGTCATCTAGAGAACCCAGTCCAGTTCTTCAAATTCGAGCGTTTTGTCGTTGTTCATAGCCGGCAGAGGCCATGCTGCCTCTGGCCGAGACGTTGGGTACTATGGCCCTGTCACCATAGCATAAAGGTCACTTGCGTTGGGAGCAAGCAAAGAGCGCGGGGCTCCAGGGGAAGCTCAAACCGTGCTCCTCCTGGCTGACGAGGAGCCTCACTGTCGGCCTCTTGGCGTGGCGCGCATCCTTTAGTCATGGCAGCCTGAGGCGCCATCTCAAACTGACCTTCAAATGAGCATCAGGCGGGAAGTTGGCCAGTTCTCACTTCTACAAAGCGAGAGGCAGTCGAAAAGAATGCACGCATGTACAAGTCAACCACTTCAGCCGCTTGAACAGGGTGTCTTATTGGTAAGGGACTTCCCAATCAAACTATTAGGACAATACAATTAACTGGCGCGGCGAAAAACACTGGACTGTTAACAGTGGACAGTAGGTCCCATAGGAGAGCGCACATTTTTGTGTCTAGATTCCACACGTCTGTGTCCCCTGAGATGGTCAAAACTTTCCTGATAGGAAAGCTGGGCGCAGATAGTGATGTTAGAGTTGAGAGCGTTCAAACTCGATATGACACTTACAGGTCATTTCGTGTCAGCTGCAGATGCGAGGAGCCAAACATGCTAATACAGCCAGACTTATGGCCCGAGAACACCTATGTGAGAAGGTGGCGTGGGCCGATCACAAACGCTCAAAACCGGGCCACCATCAGCCCAAGCTCCTCATCCGCATGAGATTAGCTAGTTTCAATGTTCGAGGTCTCCCCAAAACTAGTAAAAGCCTATCGTTACGCCCTGATGTTGTTGATGTATTAGAGTGCGCGGACATAGCATGTGTTCAAGAAACGTGGTATTCAAAGCAGGAGCTAGGTCACCTGAATAGTCTTCATGAAGAATTCTATGGTTTTGGTTGTGCAACAGTAGATTTTAGAGATGGTATATGCACTGGTCATCCGTCTGGTGGTGTAGCTATCCTGTTTCGGAAGTCTATGGCAGCATTTGCGAAACCTATTGACTTAGAATTAGACTGGTGCTGTGCTCTTGAGATTTCTCTGCCCACAAAACGTCTCATCGTGTTTAATGTATATATGCCATTTCAGTGTCGTGAGAATACCGATAAGTATGCTGAACAGTTAGGAGTTTTAGAAAGTATCATCAGCGACCTTAACACCACATGCTTTCTAATTTTGGGTGACTGGAATGCTGATATGAAGGATTGTCACAATAGCTTATTTGGCCCTGCCTTAGTGCAATTTTGTGATTCTAACAGCCTTCATTTATCATCACAGGCGATGTTACCTGGTGACAGTTTTACGTATGTAAGCGACGCTTGGGGTACTCAATCATGGTTGGATCATGTTGTTGCCAGTAGCGATGCACATGCTGCTATTTCTGATATGGAAATTGGCGATCAGCCCTCATTAAGTGATCATTTGCCGCTATTGCTCAAAATGGATATCACACAGCTACCAGAGATGACTGCCGTTCAAAACGATGTGCAAAGTAGCACTAAGTGGGACCAGTTATCTCCTGAATCTCTTAAGATATACTCTGATAAATGTAAGGATTTGTTAACTAGTGTTGCAACTGATGCACCAGGCATAACATGTTCTGAACCGAACTGCACTTCAGAGGAACACAGGGCAGAGTGCATAGCGCTGTACGAACAAATATGTCGCGCCCTTTTGCAGGCAGAAAATTTTGTAAACGATGCTAGGGCCAGAAAGTCTTTCAAATGTGTCCCTGGATGGAATTACTATGTTTCTGACCTGTACAAAGAATCGAAGGACCTGTATCGACTTTGGAGAGAAGCAGGGAAACCTAAGCATGGCCCAGTGTTTGATGCCTACAGCAGAGGCAGGGCCAGGTGTAAGTATGCCATTCGTTTTGTTAAGAAAAATGAAAGTGTTCTGAGACGTGAAGCAATCGCCAAAAAGTTATGTGACAATGACTGTAAATCTTTTTGGAAAGAAATAAGATCGCTGAGTAACAGTAGTACTCCCCTACCATCAGTGATTGATGGTGTGTGTGGTGAGGGTGAGATTGCTGACTTTTGGGGGAAACATTTCTCCAGCCTTCTCAATTCGATGCCGTCATCAGATGGTACGCTCTGGGAAGAGGACAGGGAATCTTCTGTAGGTGATATCAGAGTGTCCGAAGGCGAGATTCAGGATGCTGTCCAAAAAATGAAGTGTGGGAAAGCTAGTGGGATTGACGGTTTACAGGCCGAAAACTTGAAATATGCGGGGAAAAGTTTATCGTCAAAGTTATCCGCTTGCTTCACAGCACTACTTATGCATGGCATTCTCCCAGAATCAATGATGGCGGTGGTCCTGGTGCCGATTATCAAGGATAAAGCTGGTAAGGTCACTGCAAAAGATAACTACCGACCTGTTGCGCTAGCTAGCGTAATGAGTAAAGCGCTAGAACTAATCCTTTTGGAACGGATAGAGGACCACCTGTTGACAGCCTCCAATCAGTTTGGCTTCAAAAAGGGAATGGGAACTGACCAGTGCATATACCTCCTGAAACAGTCTATTGATCTGTACAAGTCCATGAATGGCAGTGTATTTATGTGTTTCTTGGATTCAAGCAAGGCATTCGATCGTGTACAGCATAAAAGGCTTTTCGACATTCTTCGAGATAGAGCAGTCCCAATATACATTGTTCGTGTACTTGTGTACTGGTACGCCCGTCAGGAAATGTGTGTCCGGTGGGGTGGTGCCATTTCCTTTAAATTTAGGGTATCGAACGGCGTTAGGCAGGGTGGCATATTGTCCCCATATCTGTTTAATGTGTATATGGACGGTCTGAGTTCTTTGTTAAATAGACAGAATGTAGGTTGCTGGGTAGGGGATGCGAAAATCAATCATCTGATGTACGCAGATGATGTGGTATTGTTATCACCGTCGGTTGCAGGGTTGAGCAAACTGATTTCATTGTGTGGAGAATTCGGAAAAACTTGCAATATTTTGTACAATGCAATGAAAAGTGTTGTACTGGTTTGTCGCTCTAAACACATGAAAGATTTGATATTGCCAAGGCTGTTCATTGAAGGTGTTCCTCTAAAGGAGGTTGATCATGTAAAATACTTAGGGCATATCATCAGTAATCATGCTTACTCAGATGACCTTGACATAGATCGGCAGTGTAAACAAATGTACAAACAGGGGAATGTGCTGATTCGTCGTTTTCACATGTGCTCGGTAGCAGCAAAGGCGCGTCTCTTTACAGCGTTTTGTTCATCTATGTACACTGCACACTTGTGGTCAAATTATCGCCAGTGTATGTTGCGCCGGCTGATGGTGGCTTACCATACGGTATTGAAAACTATGCTAGGCATTTCTAGGTACGAGAGTTCTTCTCACACATGTGTCGTGCACCGTGTTCCTCATTGTGCCGTTCTCATCAGACAGCGCATCTATAGCTTCATGTGCAGGCTGAGTACATGTGATAGTGAGCTGGTAAAAAAGACTGAAAATTCGAGTGTAAAATACCGTTCTCGCCTGAGGCGCCACTGGCAACAGCAACTGTACGTTCATTTTAGCACATAGCTCTGCGCGAGTGCTGAAACAGGCCCGAATGATTGTTTGTGTGACATTTGGTTGTCTTGCCACTGCACTGGCTGAAATCATCAGTATTTAAGAGTATGGACCCAGAGTCTGAAATAAAGCTTATCTATCTATCTATCTATCTATCTATACAGAGCAACACAATGGATATGGAGCTTTCCTGGCAACACAGCGATCATCCACTCTACGCTGCCACGCTCGCACCCGTTCTCCGCAAATAGGACCCGTTCCCCGCCCCGCTCCGGCCACTCACCTGGTACTTCCTGATGCGCTCCATCTGCTCCCGGCCGGGCTCCGAGTCGCGGCTGGCCGTGCTGCTCCCGCGGCTCCGGTCCAGGCTGGGCCGCGGAGCCGGCGCCGGCGGCTCCGGCCGCGGAGCCGCGCCCGAGCCGGAGCCGGAGCCGGGCCGCGGCGCCGTGCCGGTGCCGGGCGCGCGCGGCGGCGGGTAGCGTGGCGGCGTCTTGGTGCGCGCCACGAACGACTCGGGCACGTCGACAGCCATCTCTCGGTGCGGGCCGCGGTCCAGCTCGCTCATGACCGCCTCCAGCTGCAGCTGCTCCACGCTGCTGGCGCGGCTGCGCGCCCCGCTGCTCCGACTCGACTTGTGTGAGCTGCAACAGCGGCAGCGTGAGAGGAGGCGCGGCCAGCAGCCGCTCACGGAGGGGGCCATGGCGCCGCGGCCGGACGGACACTGTCAGACACCACACAGTCACCGCTGCCTGTCACTGTCACCTGCCACACGGGCTGATCAGCTCAAACAGCTGACAGTCGGCAGACGGCCTCTGCTCCCCGCAATCTCCGGAATCTGCGGCCTCCGACAGCCGAGCCAGAACGTCTCGCACATCACGGTAAAGATCACGTCACAATTAACATACACAGCTCTGCCCGGCACAGTTCCCCACTCTGACCGGGTCCGACCCCACCGGCTCCCCGCCCCACACCGTGCCCTCGAGGCGGCCCGGAGGGAGACTGCCGGTCCCGATAACATAGCTGACGGCCAGCTCACCCTGATTAGGTACTGATACAAGGCTCGCCAGTGACCGCACACAGCCTCGGCGGCGCGCCGGCAGCCGGGGCTGTGCAGTGTGACGGACAAGATACCGGCACACACACACACATACACAGTTCACACAGCGATATCGGATCGAGTGGTGACAAGTGGCATGTATCGGGCGGCCCTGCAGATAAATTTAAATGTCCCACTTAGTGCAAAGGTACGATTGAGTAAGGCGTATCATATCTTAGCCATTCAAGAAAACATGCATTGTCCTCTGTCGTGTGGAATGCTAATTCCAGCGGATATCTGAGACAAATTGAGGCATGATAAGTTCCATTAAAATGGAAAATGTAAGCAATTCTTAACCCGCGGCCCGTAGGGCTATCGGCGGACCCTACCACCCGTAGGGGGGGGGGGGGGCGTTTCGCCCCCCCCCCTAAGATCTCGGAAATTTACCGACCGATTTTTAAAACTCAAACGGCGTTCGATAGCCCCACCCGGGAACTACCTTGTGACCAAATTTCATTGACCTAGGTCGAACCGATGACGTCACAGGTCAGGTCAAAGGTCGGATTTTCACCGTTCACGGGCATTTCAAGAAATGTGTTGTGAAATCGAGTAAATTGGTAATTTATTGAAAACCATCGATGGTACGCCGTTCGCCAAACACATACTTTGCTATCTGAGGTCAGTGATACCAGGTCAGGTCACAGCGAGGTCAGGTCACCGGGGGTCACAATATGAAAGTGTCGTGTGATACATGTTTTATGGTCCATTTTACATGACAAATGCGATTATGTGGGTTAGGCAGCCTTTGGGGCCAGCCTAGGTCACGTTTTGGTGAAGGTGAGGTCAAGGTCAGGTCAAATTAGGTCAAATTTCAAAGTTGGTATTTTTGCATAAAATGGGTATCGATGCGATGCAGCTCGTCACGGGGAGTCTAATGGTGGTCTTTGTTTTGCTCTAAAAGGTCTAGAATTGCCAAAAATTGAGTTTGAAAATTTGACGTCAGCATTTTTGAACATTTTTTTTTTCGCTATAACTTGGCCAAAAAACGAGGTATCGATCTGAAATTTGGTATGTGGATAAACGACGGTAGGTACCGTCACATTTATTCCGTTTTTTTTCGAAACTCAAAAAACTTTCTGGATTTTTTTGGCTAATGTATCTAAAAAAAGCTTTTTTGAGTTTTGGGGGTCAAAACTCAAAAATTTCAAAAATCCGAGATAGCAGTTTTGTAGCCCTTTCAATTGTACACCTTTTATGTCTTGATCATTTTTCTGTATCTTCAAAGCTGTAGGCCTGACAGGTCTTCTCGCGAAGGTCATTTTTCGGTCAAAAATGACAGAACATGACGTCATTCTGACGTCATTTGCGGCCAACCTATCATAGCCTCTGGAAAATTTTTTGGTCACAATGTGTAAAATTGATGCCCGGAGGGGTCCTGAAAGTTTGGTGGCGATATCTCCAGCCGTTTAGGAGATATTGACGGAAAAGGACAGGGGGGCCGTTTCGGCCCCCCTAGAAACGGCCCCCCCCCCCCCCCTACAGGACGCGGGTAAGTTAAACGCACATTTGTTTTTAGCAAAAACGGACACCGGCTTGAATGTTTACCATTTGACAATGGATAACAAATGAGTTACACGGCAGTCCTTTCAGCATTTTAATATTGCGACGCATTCGCACCCATCCATAATATTCATGCCGTCTCAGCTGATGTCATCTTATTGTGATTCGTTCACTGAGTAGGTACCCGAAATCAGAACGGACAGAGGGGCGAATAGCTCAGTTCACTATAGCCTACCCCGACCCGCTCTGCCCTGGGACTCACCTGAGGCTCTCCTTGCTGCTCCTCTTGCTGTCGTTGTGCGTGATGAACGCCTTGCTCCTGAGCCGGGTGTTGGCCGCCGGGTCGTCCACCACCCGGCCGTTGCCGTTACAGCGGCTCGACATGGCCTCGCCCGAGTGGCCGCTCTCTGCACTGGCCGCGCTCTGCCCCAGTCTCTCCGCCGCCTCGCGCCTCTCGTGCTTTTCGCGTCTCTCGCGCTCTTCACTTTTCTGGCGTCCCTCACTTTTATCGTTTCGATCTCGCTTATTGCTTTCCTCGCTTTTCTCGCGTCGTTCGCGCTTATCGCGTTCCTCGCTTTTCTCGCGTCGTTCGCGTTTTTCGCGTTCCTCGCTTCTGTCGCGCCGTTCGCGCTTTTCGCGTTCCTCGCTGATCTCTCGTCGCTCGCGCGGCTCGCGTTTCTCGCCCGTCTCGCGGCGGGATCCGCACTGGGAGCGCGTTGCCTGCTCGCCGGCGGGTGCTGACGCCCGGTTCTTCCCCAGGAGCTGGTTCAGCTCGAGCTGCTCGCCCGAGGCGTCCAGCGAGTCGTGTGCCGCGCTGTCGCCGCCGCCGCCGCCGCCGGAGGGGTGTCGAACCGGACCGTCTGCCTCGCCGCCGCCTCTGCCCCGGCTCAGTGCCGGTACCGAGGTCACGTACACTGAGTTCGACTCGATAATACCGTTCAACTGGCTGCTCTCCTGGACCTTTTCTGTGTCGGACAGCTGAAACGGAAACAGAAATACGGGCGTCACTGACATGGCCGGCAAAATAACTTCGCAGCATTCAACACTTCGATGGCGATCGATCTTTGGTCTTTTCTTACCGGAATCTTACCAGCTCCGATGGCTCGGAAAACAGGCCATCCAAATGAAAAAAAAAAACTTTCAATAGGAAGCATTCCTCCCGACCCCAGATGGTGTTTGCTTAAAAAAAAAATTGTGTCATATTGTGGCTACTGGCTAGAGGCCTGTTTAAAACTCGCATTCGAATTGTTATTAATTTTATATACCTTTTGGGACTGTGGAACAAAAAAAAAAAAAACAGTCCAACATTTTTGGTATGTACCTACCTACATTTGTTACCACTTTTATCAAACATCTTGAGACAACGTTGCACAAAGCGTGCTGTTTCTTGGTGCGACTACGAAACAAACATCGCTTTGCCTGAGTTTCAGTGATTGCGTCGTTATTACCGAGATGATTGAGTGACTTTCTGTCAAATCCATTTCTCTGAGCCATCAAACGGCGCTCTAATCTCCTAAATCACTTTAGCAGTTTTGATTATTACAAAAGGCTGATATGAAAAAGGTAGTACGGCTCCCTCCCTGATCCTAAAAGTCATATAATATCCTATATAAATGCTACCGTCTGCGACGGCTGACGGACCCCTGCGAGACAGACCGTTCGGTCTTCCTGCTCGGGTGCTCGCGTCACCCAGAGGGAAGTATATTTAACCGAGCGGGTCCGGCTGCGCAGAGCGGTATTTCGGGAGCCCGGAGGAGGCGACACGGCGCCGCCGGTGAGGCCGACTGCGAATCACACGTGGCGTGCGACCGCAAACACAGCTCTGTTAGCACGCCGGGACCTAACGCAACACTGACGGAGGGCGGCTCTAGGACCAGATGTGCCTCCTGATTGTCAGCGCACTAACGACATGGCAGTACCTCCTGTCCCCAGTAACGTTCCCACGGTGGGTAGAATCACATTCCTCACTGTGCCAGCGATCTAATGAAGGAGCATCATGTCCCTGTATGGTCGCCCGCATTCCCATTTCCTGGATGGAAAGGGGTTCAATGGAAAAGGAAAACCCACGGCTTATGAAATACATTCAGTAATGAAGCAAATTATGAACGGTAAGTAAACTGATGGGCCACTCGGTGCCACCGTCTCTGTCCACACGCGGCCCTCTTATTTTCCTGTGGGATCGCCATTCGATGATTCATGACGCAGGTTCGCGAGCCTCTCCTATCTCGCGGCGGCGGCGCGGCGGTTGACCTTGGCTATTCTCCGGCCGGGACTGGTCCGGCGGCCTGGTCAGACGCCGTGATGCATGCCAACACGCCTCGGCTGGCCGGCGCCTCAGGAACTGAAATCCAACTGCCAGAATCAGCAGCTCGGATTCCGCGGGGGCCCCAGACAGCCGCCAGCATGGGGAGCCGGCCCTCCACCATCCCCAGTTCACTACAGAGTACCTAGCTTGAAGGCTGCAGCCGCGTCCCTCCACGCAGGTGAGTCGCACTCGCGACCAACATCGCACTCGCAGCCTGCCCCGTCGCCCTCCCCTCACCCCGACAGATGAATGGCGATGGGGGGCTGACCGACAGACACCGGCCCGCAGCGGCAGCCGCCGGCGCTAGTGGTTCACAAATCGGCCGCCAGAGGCGCCCTGGTCGGTCGCCGGCGGCCCGCCGCGCGCCGCCCGCAGGAGGGTCACGGACGCGCGCGCTGGGAAAGAGAAAGTCGCACGCCGGGTCGCGCCGTCGACCGAAGCGCTGCCGCCGTCGCCGTCTCGGCGGCGCCATCACTGTAAATCTCCCACGCAGGGCTCCCTTATCAGCACCAGCCGCCAGCCCATGGCGCGTGCTCGACCGAAATTGGGGTATCGCAGCGCTTTCAACCCCATATCGATAAACTAATCGGCCCGCTGGAGTTGAACCAGATTACCAGAGTTTCTAAAATTGTTCACGCAATGTTTCAGTATAGTTCCTAGGCAAAGGATTAGCATCTTAGCCAGGCACTGCTTGAAGCTGACAGACTGGTGCGAGCATGGGTCGCCTTTTCGATGCGAAACTCGTCCGGCTATACATTATGGTGGTTACACGGCTAATTCACCAGCCGAGATCGATGCTTTCATTCGCTGTACCGCGTTCGCAGGCCGGCGAATCACAAGTCAGTGAAAGAGTCGTCGGTCTGGCTGGTGAAAAGGCTGGCGACGCGGCGGTCTGGCCCGCTGGCGACTGAGCCGGCGAGTCGTGCCGCCAGCGCCGCTTGGCTGAAATCTCGGCTCGCCGTTTCAGTCTCTGCTAAAGGCACGTCAGGCTGCATGGGGCGCGGAGACTGCCGACAGGGTTTAGAATGACTTCTGAGAGCAGCAGCAAGCACAGTCATAACCTGAAAACGTGGCAGCCTTTGCCTTTTACCATATTTACTATACCGAATTTCAGTATACCTATACCTAATGTTTGCGACGATAAATCAGATGTTAACCTTTTTAGACTTCACTTTACCCTAGCAAGCAGACGAATTAACGTCTACCGATATTGTGCAAAACGACATTGACGGCAGCACCAAAGATGCTTCGTACAACAGCATTGTGAATGTCCCATTTACCCAGAAAGCCTTCGGCGCCCGGCGGTCTGACGAAGCACAGTTCCGCTTCCTCAGACACTTAGGGTGCCGAACATTAGAGGGAACCGTCGTTCTAATGGACCATGTAGAAAGTTGAACATACCAATTCCGTTGCATTCGCTCTATCGTGACATTGCGGTATTTATTGGAGGAACACAATACAAACAGCCCATCTTTTAGTCTGCCCAAAGGGGGTGTTCAGTTAGCTCGGAAAGCCCTGACCCCGAACGGTGAACGGCGACCTACAGACGCCCCCAATTCGTTGGGACTGGGTCACTACTCACAGCCCCACTGTATGACCGGCTTTGATGACTTATGAACCCAAGTGAGTCGACAACAAGTTTTGATGTAATCGAATTAGGAATGAACTGCATACTACCAATGGATGCAGCAAGGATTTCGGTCACGTATCGCTTATGGACAATGTCCATATCGAACATTAGAAACACGACTATGACCATTTTTGGGTTACTTTTTCCCCGGCGAGGTTATGACCTCGTAATACCGATAACCTGTACTCGGCGCTAGCCCAAGACCTCTCCAGAGTACAGGCCGACACGACGGAAGCAGTAACCAGTTGACCCACCCACTGGCATAGCCGCAGTGCCGCTACCCACCCACCCGAACCCACCAGCTGGGACAGCTGGGTATTATAGCCTTCCCAAGCCCACCCATCGGGTAACCATTGTTACCCAGGACCCACCTGCTGGGAGAGGCGGGTCATATCCACCGGCTTGATCTTGCGCAGCGCCGAGAGCTTCTCGAGCCGCTCCCGAGCCTGCTGCTCCACGGCAATGACGAACGCATCCTGGACGTTACTGCTCTGAGCGAGGTCCAGCGCTGCGGGAAGACAGGACAACACACCGTCAGACGAACCGCAGCGGAGCATAAAGGTGCCGTCCGGCGTCCTTCGGCTAGCCGGCGCGATGCCTGGGAGGGGGTGAGCAGCTAGCGACAATGGATTGCTTCCCAAAGCCCATTGTGTTAAATGATGGCTACAAAGGAAAAAGGATGGGTAAGCCGCTGCTCGCTTTTAGCGGACGAGTGAGATTGTATTATCGTATACGATGTCATAAAGTAGGTAGTCTGTATGTATGTATGTATGTAGAAAAAACGAATTAAAATGCACTCAAATCACAGCACTCAGTACCTAAACATCGAACTCCTCCTCCCTATGTCCGTAAATACCACTCGGAAACAGAGCGCTTAAAACTTCCTATAGATAGGTTCCTAAAATCATGGGGCAGGCGATTATACAATTGAGCGATGCTGTAGAGCAGGCGCAGCCTCCCTGCTTCGGTAAGCAAAGTGTCAGCAAAGTGGCGAGGTGGTGGTGGGGAGAAATGCATCGTAATGTCTCCTCGGACCACTCTGCTTAACATTGACCTGACTTGACTCATGACCTCTCCGCCCACCGCCCCGCCATGTATTCACTGACCGCTGACCGCCAGGTACCCGCCGAGTCCCGGACATGTCGCCTCCCGGCCGGTATCAGCCGCACTGCACCCCCATTCCCCTGCCGTCAGCCATTGTCTCCGACGACGGAATTCCGGACGGCGACGTACTGCGGCGAACAATGACGCCGCGCCTCGTGACGCGAGACAAACGCGGCGCGACGATGACGCGGAGCGCGACCGCGCGGCGAGCGGCGCGGGGTGTGGGAGCGAGCTGCGAGCTGCGACCGGCGGCGGGGCCGCGCGACCAAAGCTCCAGCGGCAGGCCGCCGCCAGCCAAATCACCTCGCACTGCGCAACACTTCCTGATTAAGCGGCAGTTCACGTGGGTGACGTTTGATCCGGCCACGGGGCCACCCAGGCGAGGTGGTGAGCCAAAGCGCGTGTTTAGGACCGGGTGCTGACCGGGTCGGACCCGCCTGTATAGCCCATGCAGACCCTGCAGTGGCGCCTCCAACCGGGGTATGGCGAGCTCCCAGGTGAGCCGAGTCGGGCCCAGGACCGGCAGCGGGGCCGGATGGTTCGGCTACCAGACTGACAGGTCGGGTGACTGTGTGCAGTGTGACACGATACATCCGACCGCGGCCGCGGCGGCCACGGCCCCGAGAGCACCACCAGATCACTGAAACATTCACGGCCCAAGGCCTGATTCATCACTCACTCATGTAGCGTAGCATCTCACGACAGCTATAAGGCTATTCTTTCGGCTTGCTATTTAACTGCTATTATCAATCACTGCTTCACTTCCCTCCCGGGAGTTCCGCAGGACAACTTAACACGTAATTTAGATTTTATCTTGTTATGAATCATGCCTCGGAACATTTCGACCTTGTTCGGTGCAACAGTAGCCTGCGAAGGAGTTCTAGGAAGGAGCTCGCGCTGAATTCCGACATGGTGAGCCGAGGTTTTCAGCCGTAATGTCTCATGTCGTGCAGACCTGCGGCGGAAGTGTTCCCAGGAAACGAGCAAGACACTACTCGCACCTTCCGAGACATACACAGGTGAAGCAAAGAACATAACTGACATTTCCGTCATCATTTCCTCAATGATGCTTCGAATGAAACTCGAGTGTGGTTTGTGCTGAGGTCAGTCAATCAGAGGCCGATGTAAGAAGTTGATATTTGCACAGCACGCCGCTAAAGCGAACAGAGTAACATGACTCTGCTGCTATGAGTCAGACATCACAGCCAGCGGGCCTCGGTGGGGCAGAGCTGACATATCACACTGCAGTGCCAGTGAGCTGGCTTGGCGGGGCGGAGCTGACATGAGCTTCCAGTGAACGCCAGACCAGCGGTGGCATGATCTTCCAGTAAACTGGCGCAACCGACCAGCGCTGAATTAAGTCTCGAGTGGGCTGGCCCGGCAGACCAAAGCTGACACGATCCAGCTGGCCTGGCAGACCTGGGCTGACCAGACCCCTTTAGTAAGCTGGCTCGGCAACTGACATAAGTATCGAGTGAGCTGGCTCATCCGACCAGCGTTGAAATAAGTCTCGAGTGAGCTGACCCGACAACCAGCGCTGACCCTCCGCGTGAGCTGACTCGACGGACTGGCGTCCGCCGCGCACCAGCCGACCGTCAGCCGCCCAGAACTCCCGCCCGAGTCGCAACCATGTAAATGAGCTGCATAGCTGAGCGGACGCGGGGCGTTGGTAACCCCGGCTGGCTGATGGCTGACGGTGGCCGTGACCCGACCCGCCGAGTCGCCTCCGCCTTGACCCCGCCGGGTGCCGGCACGGCGCCGCGCCGCGCGGCTCACACGCCTTCTGTTCTGCGACCTCCCACAACGACCCGGCTCACACGCTGCAGTGAGGCGTCCCAAATCATTTTGTAGTGACGGCTTCAAGATAGCGACAACTACTCGCCGTTAAACCGATGCGAAGAGCCGTAGCCATCTCTAGCAGATCCGAGTGCAGCCCAGTTCAGAGCTAGACCTCAGCGGCAACTGGCAACTGGCAATTCTAGTTAGCCCAAGTCGTCCTTTGAGTATGGAGATAAGGACACTGGGAATGGTCGCCAGAGTCAGAAAGCACGCCACCCTTCTCTAGCCTCCCTCGCTGCCCGACCGCCGCATGGAGTGAGGAACAAAGCGTGGTTGGTCACGTACCGGCAGGGGTGATTGACAGGCCCGGCGGGCGGCGGTGCGCCGCTCCGGTTACAGGGCCGGCGGGCAGGGACAGAGTTCCAGGACCGGCCCGGCTCACACAGTCCACTCCGGTTCACGCCGGCTCAGCATGGATCGTTAAACAGGTGACGAACCGGCGGACCTGGTTACAGCTCAGGGACACCATCTGCATATTCCGAGCAGCCTGATCAGTTATGGATGCCGCGGCTCCAGTAAAGGGTGACAACAGCCGAAGGAAGGTCAAGCCAGTTGACGCGCCTCAGCTTGATTTAATTCAGACCTCAGAAGTCAGACGCTTCAATCAAACCGCACCGAAGCACCGAAGCACCGAGGCACCGAAGGTTCGGGTTCCTCAGAGGACACCTCCAAACTCCTAAGGGCCTGCGTGGGTCTTCATGTCTCCTAAGCGGCAGCGCGGCCACTGCCATCGGGCCCCCGGCTGTCACCGGAAACCGACCAGTCACGCCTGGGCAGGCCGGGACAGCGTCGCGCTCGACGGGGGACCGGCCCGGACTCGGCGGCACGTCCTTCGTCCCAGACGACGTCGGCCGTTCCGTCAGTCGATGATGCATCGACGCCAGGCATCTCGGCACGCCGTCACATTACGCATTCCTGGGTGCGGCCAACTCCGGTGTGAGAGGCGTGTGGAGACTGGAGGGGCAAGGCACCTTCTGTTGGCGCATACAGCCCGTCATTCCTAATGCCCAATTTGAACGGAGAGAATGCAGAAAAATCTAGCAGCTTTGAGGTCCGGCGATGGTTCGTTCAAATTGTCATCAAAATACCGAGGCCAAAAATCAAAATATCCTTTGAGACATAACTCATCAATCTACGCGAGCCGAACGAACTCGAAACAGCGAGCAAGGACGCCAGGCGAGTATGCTCGTTAGACGTCGCTGCGGCGGATGTACCGAGCTCTGAGCGGATGTATGCATCCCAATCCCCTCCCCCAACTCCAGCCCTCCCCGCGTTCAATACGGCCGTTACTGACGATCGATTCACCGATCGAAATCCGACCCACCCTCCTCAGGGTGCCTGTAAAGTCAATACGACAGACCCCCCCCCCCCCTCCCTAAACAGCACCCACCACTGGGTGCACGTGCGGCCTTTGTGTGCAGTGTCAGAAAAGTGGCCCGTTTCTAAGTTTTCTTGAACTCGGAAGATTTGTTCTGCGAAAAGTCTTGACTAAAGTAAAGCAATTTTTGTTCTGTGAGCAAACGTTCCCTAAACAGATGGCCAATGATTTTTGTGTAACAAAGTACCTCTACCCATCTATGTCAGCACTATCAGGCTTGATGGAGCATTTCACAATGGGTCACTTAATAAAAACCCAACTGCCTGCCCATTTTGACTGATTTTTCTTCTTCAGCAGATTAAGTCATCTCTCTCTCCAGTCTCCATGGCTACTGAATGAAGACCTGGACTCCTGAATAGAATGCAGTACAAACTACTGACCTACTCCCAAGAACCAGCACCGCCTGCTACTCTTGGTTCACCAGCTGACAGTTGTTGGCAAAACTTTCACTGGTAACCTTGTCCCTCACAATAACTGGTATTAGATTGGCAGCCTGAAGCCCATCAACTGTGATGTGTTATGAACAGGTGATCTGTGAATTGTGATCACACAGTGTGTGCATTAACAATTAATCCCGTATTTTTTAATACAAATGTTGAAAATTTTGTCACTCTTTCAACATCTGGTTCAACATGTATGATATGAATGAAGGAATACACAGCATGCAGGAGCTGGAAATGGGCAATGCCCCAATGGATATGCAGACTTAACGTAATCAGGTGAGATAAACCTGAAAAGCTTGATTGATTCATATCCATATTAGCATGCAGTGCCTACAAAGTAGTGAATGCTTTAAAAAATTAACTGACAGGCAACAGCAGTTCAAGTTTATAACGTAGTCAGGTGAGATAAACCTGAAAAGCCTGATTAATTTGCACGTACACTGGTCTGAGAAACAACACTACCAAGCTAGTCAGTAGTAAATGGGCAATGCCCCAAATGGATAAGCAAACTTTACGTAGTCAGGTGAGATAAACCTGGAAAGCTCAGCTTGATTAATTTAAATGTACACTGTTCTGAGAAACGACACATATACCAAGCTAGTGAGTAGTAAATGCTATCAGAAAATTATGGGTACTGGATAAGCATATTACCCATAATACCTATATCAGCACAACCAATCCTACCTTTAAAATCACATTCTCACACAAATCAAGCCAAGGCCCTATATAGGTACCAAATCACAA